ACAGAAGTCTTGACCTCAAGAAGATGACACTATATAGAAACAAAGGTTGTGACCCTTTTAGTTGTGAGAGAGATAGGTTAAACATGATACAAGTGTGTTTGCCAGAAGCAGTAGACTCGAGGAGCAGGCTGCTGAAGTTCCTGAAGGAGATGGTTGTCAGTCAGTTTAGGAACTGACTGCTGATCCTTAGAAGCAGGCTTCCGAAATGAGCTATCAGCTTATTTAGTTACATTATAGCAATGAACTATACTCTAACGTAGTGGCTGACTTTAGAACTAGTCTAGCACACAAGTAAGAAGGATTTAGACCAGTGGAAATAGGTCACTTTGAAGAACATATAACAAGGAGATGACTCACAGTGAACTGGGAAAAGTTCACTGGACAATTTTAGTGAGCAAGCTGTTTTGTTGTGCAGTTGTGAAGGTAAGTGAGTACTGAATATGTGTTAGGAGCAGAATGTAAAGATGACACACAATGTATCCTGGTTCAGAGGTGGTGTAATTCTCCTACATCCAGTCCCAACCTATTTCAGATGGATTTCCACTAAATGAATATCCCATTACATTTAGTGCCCCAACCTACCCTTGGCCCAGGCGTAGGTTGTGAGGTTTTTCACAAGGAACTGAAACACCGTTCCAAGCTACTCAGTCCTCCAAGGTTTTTCACTAATGGCATTGACTCGCCAAGAGCTACTCATGTCATTGTCCTTTCTCACCTTCTGGATTTGATCACCAAGCCTTCCAGAATGTCTAACACTAGTCTAGAATACATGGGTGTATTTCTAAACTACCAACTAATCTAAGCTCTATAGATGTGTATGAATTGTAGCTAGTCTAAGAGCATTAGACGAGTGGGGTGGTAGCTGAAGTGTAGAAGGGAAATTAGCTGGCTGGATATCTTCGTGTAGTATGATTTCCTTCTATCCACTTGGCTCCTCTCGTTTTACCACACTTGGTAATCCCACACTCCTGTATATATAGACTTGATCATTACATCTCCACCGTTGGCTGAGGAAATGAATCTTGATTGTTGCTTGATCTACTTGCTTTGTTCCACGTAGTGACACAGATCATCTATCTTCAACTCAACTTGTTTACACATTTCAATGGAAGATAAAAGATATTTTATCTTTATTTTCTTACGTAAAAACTAGTATAAAGTTGAGTGATATTTCAATGCTACCTTACAAAGAACGAACACTTGCTTTTGTAAAGTAAATTTATAAGAAATTTATAATGTGATTAAAATCTCTTATAAATTTACTTTTCATCAAATTGTTCTTTTGTCTGGAAGTTGGTCTTTTGTCAAAGTGTTTTGTGCTAAGAGAAGAGAGAATTGGATCTCGGATGAGTTTACTGAAAACTCAGCTTTCAGCTGGCTGCCAAGCATTTCAGCTGGCTGTCCAGAAAATCAGTTGACTGCTGATTTTTGGAGTTTTCCCGTTAGCTCATTTCTTAACAATGAATACCAGTTGACTCTTTTCGTACCTTTTCTCTTTTTTGATCTTTTTTTTCCTTTTGTTTTATGGTACGTTTAACTTCTCTTTTTAGTACTCTTTGTTTGTTTTATGAGTACTTTACCACTAAATATGGAGCACATTACAAATAAACAAAGTAGAACATAAGTAGTAGACTAGTCTAATACAGGAATAAAGGGGTTTGGCATCATCAAAGTTATTTCATCAAAATCAGGGGACCTAACAGAAACAAAGCAGTACAGTTACCTCGAATCCAACGAGCTTTCAAAACTTTTTAGCATACTTGACTTCAGTTTCAACAACCTCTGTAAGGCCTTCAATTTTTCCGTGTAATCCACTTAACTAGTCAGCTACTTTGGAGATCATGCTCTTCCCTTCATATCTATATTCATTACTTCTTCGCCATTCATGCATATCTACTTTCCATAGCATCTTTCCACGCAAAATAACCACATCCAACCTGGAATGCAATGTCATTAATTATATAAGCTCATTGAAATCAGAATAGTGTCCTTAACTTCATCTTTGTATAATTGCGTAAGCATACACTCACAAGTCAAATGTATACTGAAACTCCCATTTTTACACAAAAATAAAACAATTATGGAAAGAATTACCTTCCATTTTTACAGCCGTAAAATGTTCTCCCACTCTCCCGGGGCACTCATACCGGGGCCTTCAAACCACAATAGCAATACACGGGTGGCTCGTAATCGAGAGTAATGGTTCGTCCTTTTCTCGCAGTTGATGAAGATGCAAATGACATTTTGATTTGCAGTAGAAGAAGATGAAATCGACGAGTAATTAAATTAGGGTTGGGGTTGCAGATAACTTATGTATGTTAGGTAGGCTGAGAAGGAGAGAGATCATTTTAACCAATGTGAAAACAAGTGTGTGATTAAAAATTACATGTAGACATCCACGTGAGTGGGTACCAGGGGTTACTGGATGCTTACCGTTCAAACGACTGATTTGGTTAATTTTGCAAACTTAATGACTTGATTGGTGCGAAGAATTGTACAAGGACCCAGTTAACTTTTTCAAAAAAGTACGAGGACCTATTTGACAGTTTTCCGTAAATATATATGACTATATGAAGGCAAAGAACAAAAATGTGATTTATATAATTTTATTACTATAATAATAACTCTAGTGCTCATGATTATGTTCAATTTAACATTACGACGAGATATACTCATAATAATTTTAGTCATATTTTCGTCCATGTGTTTCATTTTAGTAACATTTAAAGAAAAAATCTTTTATAAAGTTCAAATACGAGTAAATATAGGGAAAATGGAAACTAATAATCTCACATTTACCATTCTTCCTGAAATAGTCTCACATAACCGTATCTCATAATAATCTCACATTTGCAATTTATCTTGTTTCGTTGGTCCCTGACTGAATGATTCTAGATTTTTTTCATTTTTTTACAAATCATTTAACCATAAACCTCACATTCTATAAATATTCTCAAAACGGTCTCACATATGATTTTACTTTTTTCTTCCTAAAAATTTTCTCTCTTTTTTCTTTATCCTATCAATGCTTTTATTCCTTTTTTTTATTTCGGGGTATCATTTAATTACCTCGTTTATGTATTACTTTATCCATTTACCGTAAGATTTTTTTTTATATAATTTATTCCATAGTGTTTTCCTTTGTTTCTTCTCCTCCATTTTTATTTTCTTTTCTTTATGTGTATTCCTATTCATTGTAGTCTTTTTTATATTGTTTTCCGTGATACTTGTTTAAATTTTTTCTTTGAACTTTTCACAAAAAAAAATGTATAAGTGATGAAATCAATGTCTAAAAAGGAAAAAGGAAATAAATAAGTGAAAGTAAAAAAGAAAATTAAGTAAAAACTTAGTATGTTGAGAAATAGATCCTTAATAAGAAGGGAACTAATTCGGAAATATATATAAAAATGGAAATTAAATGGTAAATCGGAAGAAGAAAAAGAAAAAATGGAATACATAAACATGAAAAAGTAATAAACATATGAATAAGAAGATGAAAAAGGGAATAAAAGAGTCAAGAGGATAAAAATAAAAATAAAACTTCTATGGAGAAAAAATGAAAAATGATGTGCTGACCATTTTGATAAGATTTGTGGAAGTTGAGATTTATGTTTAATTTTTTGCAAAGAAAAGAAAATAATCTGAAATAGTAGGTCATCAACTGGACAGAAACCGATAAAGAAGACCCCTACAATGTGAGGTTATTGTTTTCCATTTTCCCTTAAATATAGGGGAAAATACCAATCAACCCTCAAATTGACACCGATAGTGCAAATCACCCCCTAAATTAAAAAAAACTCCAACCAACCCCTCTAAGTCAGCGGTAAAGTGCAAATCACCCCTTCAATTAAAAAAAAAACTGCAATCACCCCTTCAGTAGCGCAAATGACTTCCTAAATTGTAATTTACCAGTTAAAGCTTATGTGTGCCATTTATTAAAAAAGTTATGTCACATAAAATTCATCTATCCACCTCAGTATATCTCACTTAAACCTTTTATTAAATGCTTATAGAACGAGGGGGGCCACTGTGCGATTCTTCTTCAGGTGTAATAGGATGGCATTTGAAGAAAGTGAACAACCAAACAGATGAAAACCCTCCAATTAGGGTTTCCAACTTTGCCTTTAACAGTTCAATTCATTGGGACTCCCAGAGATGGGGTCGTGCATCGTCTCTTCAAGACACCTCTCAGGATTCATTAAAATTTGTAAGGAAGGAGTTGATTGAAGATGAAGTCAATGTGATGGGTATTCCACAAGAAGATTGCTCAAGAGTCCTCTTATGGAAACTCCGAGTTTCAAAATGAAGAAACATTTTTGTGAATTTGATTAAGTAGCCAGTTTTTGTGGGTAGTTAAAAGCCAAAGATCATGCATGGCAAGCAGATTATGAAGAAACCCACTTATTTTTTTCTTTGCAAAATCTTGTATTAATACCTTTGCCCTTTGGCACTTCTTAATGTGAAGTATTATAACTATTACTCATTTGAGATGTTTTAAGTTGAACTTGTTCCAACCTTTTCCCGGGAAAAAAAATGCTTATAGAACGAGGTTGATCATGCAATCTTTTGAGATGCTCAAGTGTTTCCATGATTGCATGAAAACCCATCGACGAATTCAAGAAATAAACATATCAACGCCCGCCACTTCACGTAGGAAACGACTACCGATCAAGGAAGCATGAGTTTCAAAGATTGAGAGATTTGTGTAACCCTTCTCTATTGTTTAAATATTTTTGTAATTGTACAAGTCAATTTAATGTTCTAATAAATTTACATTTCATTTTTAATGTGTATATTTTGTTGTGTGTATTAATATTTACTTTTTAAGTAATTTAAAAGTAGTGGTTAAAGGAAAAAAAACAAGAAAAGGAAAAAAGAAGAAGTGTGCGGAAGAAGACAGAATAAGAAAGGAACAGGGATGCATAATTGCTTACGTCACACTACTAAAACCGCCGGATGTACCGTCCGGATGGTACAACCAGCGGTATAATATAATTTACCGCGAATCAAGCAGCCATATGCAGACAGTAGTTATACACATGCGTTCGTTCATGCACTGAGTGAACTCTTCCTTTTCTCATCTCACAATATAATCATTCAAAGACTTCATTCAACTTTAAACAGATAAAAAATCCACTCCTGGTGTATCCTCACTAAAAAAAGATCGTAGAGGGAAAATCACCAGGTGGGTGGGAGTAAAATGAAGAATGTTGGATAGATCTCATGTATTGAGGGTGAGAAAAACTATACAATACAATCATATATACTAATGGAAGTAATTAAACACACTCGAATTATTGAAAGGTGAGGAGCCAATCTGCTGCTGCTTCTAAACTCTTTTGCTTTGTTGGCGAGCAGTCGGTGGAATAAGCTCCTGTTCAGTTTATTAAAGCGCAACCGCCCAGATGAGAAGAAAAGAAAAGTAGCACAATCATATTAATGCGCTTACTCTTTCATCCATGTTGTTTCTATATAAAAGTAAAAGCATTAAACATATTTTTCGTCCCAGCACCTGCATCAATTATCAAGCTTCTTCCGGATGTAACCCCTTCTTCTTTTTGTCAATTAGAGTTTTTTCTTTAGGAAACAGGTTAATGTAGAAGGACTAAAGAGAAAACAAAGGAATTTCAGGGATGAAAACCCAAAGGAGTAATGCTACAGATTCTTCAAAAAAAAATGTTATATTTTTGGGGACAAAAAACACAATTAAGGCAAAAGTAAGGGAAAAATACCTCAGAATAGCGGGCATGATCGCGATGTAAAAAGGAAGATTTCACAATGCTCTCCCACTTGGAAGGAGCAGCCTTATTAGAAGACTTTGATCTCTGATTCTTTACATTCTGCAAAGGAATAGCAGGTGATGTGCGGCGCCAAAGCCATGACTCAGAAGGCATCTTGGGTAAGGGTGGGGGTAGAGGTGAATCTGGAGTGGTCGTAGTAGTAGTAACTTCACATTTGGCATCATCATCATCTCTCATCAAGTGATCATCTTTCTTGCCTTTAGTTACATTTCCTATAAGCTTCGATTTGCTCTGTAGAGATACGGCAGCAACTATGGAGCTTGGAACTTCCACCTTTTGAACAGAATCTACGTACACGGTTTTCTTGTCTGAGGTTGTCATCACTATGCTCTTTCTAGAAGCATCTTGAAGATAACTGCTCGCCCTCTTGGCTTCTTCTTTTGGCACTCCTAGGAACTTGGTGCCTTCATTGAAAGGCGACCGAGGAGTTACATTTCGGTATGGAGATATTGTGCCACTTCTAGAGTGCCTGTTTGGGGACAGTCCGTGTGAATCTCTAGAATAAGACATCCTTCTATCATCACCACTACACTTGTACAGCTCTCCCGATAGAGCTCCAGAATGGAACTGCCGTTTGTTGTACATGGCATCACACACTTGCTGCATACATACATGTATTCAGTAAAGCTGTGTTTGGGACCCGCAGAGTTGAAAGGATAAATAGAGGAACAAGAAGAAGAAGGAAGGAGGGTGATTTTTAATTTGTCAGTTTTACCTCGCAAAGTGTGAATTGAAATTGAGTTTGATTACAATTTTGCAGACATTTTTTTGTCAGAGCAGAGCTATCCTGATTTTTAGATTTCTGCAGACATTTAGATTTTTGCAGACATTTAGATTTTTTAACTTTCTTTATATAATACTCCCTCCGTAACTTAAAAATCTTCCCACTTTCCTTTTTCGTCCGTAACACAAAAATCTTCCCATTTCTAAATCTTCCCATCATACCCTCAATAATTCTTAAAATAATACACTATTACAACTACTTTTTTTGGATTTATCCTACATTCCACCACATTATTCCACTATTTTCCCATCATACCCTCAATAATTCATATCATCTTTCACTATTCTTAATCTACCTACTTTTGAAATGGGAAGATTTTAAAGATACGGAGGGAGTAGAAATACATCAATAGCATAAGTTTGAACAAATATCTTAAATGGATTGCATTGACTTTAAACCAATTATCGATTTTTCCTCCAAAAAAACTTTCCTTCAAAATCACTCCAATTTCATCCTCATTTTGTTTGATTAGTGTTTCCAGGTTCCAAATGGACCCTAAAAAGATGATGAGATGGAAGAGGCACACACAAAATTCTACACCATGAAGCCGTGTTTAAGATTTATTTAGCTGAAATGGCTGAATTTTTAAATTCTTCAAAACAAAACACGCTCAAATTCAGCTACATAAGCCAAAGCTACTTATTCTGCTAATCCCAAGGAGAGAAAGAATGAGAGCTACACTAAAGGGAGTCTAAACTCCATGCAACCGACCACAACATAATAGGAATCGAGGTGACTGGTGATACCAAAGAAACACGGTGATGTGATCATTATTCCAGAACTGTATTCCAACCATTGTGTACTCATATTGGTCATGGTGAAGCATGAGCCGGAGGTACACGTGGGCAACAAAGCACCACTACAATGGTCGGAAAACCAGATGGAATATGGATTCAGAACAGAGGTGGGGGGATCCCATGTGCTAAAGCAGACGAATAATTGCATTTTCTACCTTGTCGAGAGGTCCGCTATAAGCTTTTCTGCCTACATTGAGGGGTCCACTATATGCATTCCTAGCTAACCTCTTCATGTCTGTAGGAGGACGTGGAGGGGCATGAGCTGGAGTTTGATTTGTAGTTTTTATTCCTGGCAAACGATTTAAAAGACACAAAGATTTCTTCACACAAAGCCAGGGGAAAATCTTCAAAGATCTACCCCACTGCTTCTGCTTCTTAGCAGTAGGTGTAATAGTAACTTTTTCATCTTCAGACTCACTATCATCATCGTCTGTGCAGTCGCTATAACATGGTGGCATATTATGAGGAGGCTTTCTTTCTATTGGGGAAACCTTAAGTTCTTCATTGACCAAAAGTTCCTCCTTTTTCGGAACATACTGAGGGTTTTCCAAAGCCACGGCCTTTGCTGCAGGTAAGAACCGGTTAATCATAAACTCTCGGGTCTGCAAGTCAACAGAGAACGTTCCAGAAGGTTTCACATCGGGACCTTGATATCCACTTAATCCACTCATACTGCAACTCAACGACAATGATTCTGACGGTGATCGCAAGCCATATGAATCAGAATCAGAACGAGAGTGCTCCCGGAATTCCAGTTCAGATTCCCCTTTGGAGTAGTACATACTATCAACCAAGGTTTCCAATAAAGCGGCATGATCATTCCATGGAAGAGACTCTCCATGATACTCGTAGAGGTTTTTTCCACGTGGCCTTTCGCCCGAATAGAATCTTACAGAATCTCGGGTCGTCCGGCCCGGGGGAAGCATAGGGGTAGTGGAACAAGGCTCTTCATATGCATATGTTTTTCTTTCAATTCCTGATCTCCTCTGTCCTGGAGTATGTTCCCATACAAAGGGAACTGCAGCAGGTTTGGTCAAATCATTTTTTGTTTTCGGGGCAGGAAGAGAGTGTTGTCTGTTTGGTAGTGTCTTGCCAATCGTCTTCCGAATTATTTCTTCGGGTTGAGATACAATTGATGACATTCTCCTCACTGATATGAGCGGGGCATTGAAATTTAGTTGTTTTTTCTCCATTGTTACTCCTCTGAGATAAATATAAAACATAAAACTTCCCACCTTGGTTTGCTTTGGGAGTTCCAAACTACATGTAGTTTGACAGCTTGAGGCTATTAGGAATTATTACTGCAACCAAGAAACCCAGAATCAAAATGCAAAAATCAGGAACAAATGCAATAAGATACTCAATTGTCTAACTAGAAATACAATAAGGAAAAATTTTAAGGTAGGCAATTCATAGGTAAAATTATGAGGTGAACTTTTACAGTATATGTAATTACAAAGAAAAATAGCCAAGAGTAAATCTCAAAGTTTGAGCAATGCTAAATTGCACAAATCTAGCCATGTTTTTTTTACTACAAATGACATTTCTGCAATAATATGATCCAGTAAGTATCCCTTTTAGCACACTAGTAGTGCATCATTCACTACTTACTACCACCAATTTTTATTTCGACCACAAAGTCATGGCTATACATTCCAGCCATAAGGGTTTATTGTGAATCTTTTTCATAGGGTTAACATACTCACATAGACATACCATCCAATACTGGTATCTACTCAGTAGATCCAAGAAGTGAAACTGACATGTTTGTTCCAATTGAATATATGAAACGAAAAATTTTCATCAACAACAACAAAAACTAGAAAACAATTAATTTTGCTTCCGAAGTACCAGAGCATATGAATTCTAAGAGTAAAAGAAATAGAAAATCAAAAGGGTTAACATACTCACATAGGCATACCAGCCAATAGTGGTATCTACTCGGTAGATCCAAGAAGAGAAACTGACATGTTTGTTCCAATGGAATATTTGAAAGGAAGAATATTCAATAACAAAAAAAGACTACAAAACTATTAATTTTGCTACCAAAGTACCACAACATATGAATTCTAAGAGTAGAAGAAATAGAAAATCAACCCCCAGTTTACTTCCCAAATTAACCCCAAACCAAGAAATGCGAGGGTCCAGGTCTGCAATAAAACAACAATTGATGATAATTAAATAGCCGAATTTACAGGGACACCCAGTACAAGAAAGATTGATAAAGAGACATAAAGACACGATCTTGAATGAAGAGCACAAAGAACAGACTAACAAATAAATAAATGCTCTAACAGCAAAGACCCCATTAGCGGAATACCAAAGAAAAATAAAATTTAATTCTATTGGTTTCATTTTTCTCATACCTGGGAGAGAGCAGAGCTAGAAGAAAAAGAAGAGAGACTGGAGGGCATGTGACTAGTCTTGCCTTGATTGATGGGATTAGAGAGAGAGATGGTTTTGGGGTTTTCTATACTTTGGAACAGACTGCAACAGTGGCGCCGCACAGGGGTGGGGACCCATGGGTCACGTACAAATAATGGGAGATTATTTGAGAGGTGATTAATAAACGATAAATAGAATATTTTTTTCACAACGTTAAACATAATGTTTAAATGTAGATATTGTGATTAAAAATGTTTAGAAAAACTTACCAAAAAGACATAAGATTATGAAAAGAAGGAGAAAGCCATAAGTTTAATCTTTTGTGTAATTGTGTCTATCTCTTTCATGTCACATGTGTATCATGCACATTGTAGCATTGGAAATGCTTTGGACGCGTGACTTTTTCGACTTATCAGTCAACTACTCACCAAACACGTAATAATAAGAAAATGTAAGATTTAATTGTGTAATAATAAGAAAAGGTAAGATTGAAGTTATTTTTCTAGATGTATTAACTAAAGTTCTTGTAGATGATCATTTTAGCTACCCGAGTATTTTTCATATAATTTTGAGAAAAGGGTCAAATAGGTCTTCAAACTTATATAAAAAGGTCAAATGCACCCTTATATAGAAGGCTTTGTCTGGCCGTCGCCATTTGGGGCATTTCCCGATGGAATTTTTTGATGAAATTTTTTAAGCATCTTCTTCATTAAGTCTAGTTTACTCATACCAAATTTCAGCTAACAATTCAATTGGGAAGGCATTCAAATGAATTTTTGAAGATAACTGCGTTTTTAACTGCGCAATTATCTTCAAGAATTCATTTTAATGTTTTGAAGTTTTACCTGAAATTTGGTATGAGTAAACTAGACTTAATGAATAAGATGTTCAAAAAAAATCATCAAAAATTTCCATCGGGAACCGTCCCAAATGGCGACGGCCGGACAGAACCTCCTATATAAGGGCTTATTTGACCTTTTTATGTAACTTCGAGGGCCTATCTGACCATTTTCCTTATAATTTTTTATTTACTTTATTAATAAAAATTATTTTAAATATAATTTATTCTTAAATAAGCAAAATGAGCCAATTCAGCCACTTCAGACAGAACTTCATAAATTTCAGCAGAGTTGGCCGATTCAGACAATTTCAGTGTTACCAAACGAGCTTTATAATTGTTTTTTGCCTGATTAAAAATATGGGCTATGTTTGGCGTTAAGACAGAGATTAGGTGCTATTATATGAAGGGTAGTTCTAATTGCAACCTAACTTTTACTAAATGTGTATTGTATATTGAAATAGTGACATAATTTAAAAGTTCATGAATTGTAAAAATTTAGTTGTATTAAATGTAGGTTTTCATAAGTTTTATTGTCGTTTTGCCTACTCTCCAAATGGTTTGATATCAATGTAAGCCGCTTTCATAAAAAAAAAGTCTAAAAAGTCTCATGTATTCAATATAGATTTTTAAGTCTAAAAAATCTAAGAGCCCGTTTGGCAACACTATTTTTCGGCTTATCAGTCAACTTTTTCACCAAACGTAATTTTTCCTTTCGCGCTCTGAATTGTGTAATAAGCAGAAAAAGTAAGGTTGGGGTTACTTTTTTGGCTGTATAGGCTGAAGTTACTGTAGGTGATCATTTTAACTATTTTTTCATATAGTTTTTTCTTTATTTTATTAATAAAATATATTTTAAAAATAATTTTTCTTAAATCAGCAGAATCAGCCGATTTTTGTACTACCAAACGGACTCTAAGTGTATTCAGTGTAGACTTTCAAAAGTCTACAAAGTCTACCCGTATTCAAATTTCCATTCAGTTTTATGGGTTTTTAAAATCACGGATTCTCGTAGACTTTTAACTCATTATTAGTACAATAATTCTGTATATTCGGATCTTCCCCTTACCAAAAAGTTTTGTGGACCTTTTCTTTTGTCTACTTGTAACAAGTCGCATAGATCATGTTCCATAACCAGACTAGATTATATTTGACTAATTATTTACCTGGGATTACAAACCAGCTAACCGGTCATGGACTAGTATTGGGCCAAAAAGTGGTACCGGGATGGTCTCACTACAGGATCCGATCATTCTTCCAATTTTGAGTTTCCTAATTAATAAAAATAAATTTGGATGCTTGGCCCTCATTTATTACTCTATAACTTCGCATTGCTATATGAATTATTACTTTTAAATTATTCATTTAATTGTTTCTTATCATGTTATGAGGAAACTACTCATGGTAGGACACATATGGAGTAACATTCTTCTCAAAATGGGACCATATGTTTGGTTTTTTTTTACTTAAATAAGACTAAACATTACATTACTACCCTTAATTTAATTAATTAATAAAATTAATTTCTCCTTATTTCTCTTGCATGACCAAAGTCAATTTGTTGGCAGCGGCAGCGAAATTGACGGCAAACTCCGACGACGCGGGCGAGATTCTGGTAAATCGGCGACTGTGATCTAGGGGGAATTGCGGCGAGCGGCAACGGCGGTTCGGATTTAAAAGTCTGAGATATCACTCTAAACCATGGCCCAGAGGATTTCTCCAGAGTTTTATCCTCTTTCTCGTACGCCAATGCACAAAACTTACCTGCATGACCAATGACTGTACACACAAAGTAGAAACTAGGCAATTTTTCATATTTAAAATTCTCTCGATATCCAACCCCTTGCCTTTTCTGATTGTAGTTCCACTCTTTAGAGATTTTGCCACATCCAAACATACTCTTATATGCATATATGCTTCCCATTTTTCATCAAACTGACTTTACTCTATTTTACTGAGATTCCCCACAAAATTACCTATTCATTTTGCTACCTCTAAAGTCATATAGCCATATGGCACATCATGCACATGAACCCAAAATTCTATTGTATTTAGAGGAACCATGATAAGAATGTCCTCTGGTTTTATCGCCTTTAAAACCATAAGATTTTGTTCAAACAATAATGGGTCATTCTCAAAAACACGGTTCATACCAACTATGTGATAAAAACCGAATAGATACGACTTATCTCCGATTTCCTTGATCGAGACTCTTCTTTCTGGATGTCATATTGAAGCCATTAAATTAAATCTTTAAAAATATGGAATTTCACCATCCTATCAGTGATATAGTGTGCCCACTAACGGAAAGACATCTTTGTCGTCGTCCTCCCGTGCGCCCACTCCATTTTCCCCAAAGACCGATTCATTCTCCTCTCCTCCAATATCTAAATTGCCGTACTGATTAACCATGTTTTCCATCCTGAAACGTCAACCGGTCACTGCTCCTAAACTCCTTGCGCTGCAATCTCTGCTTAGTCGACACGAAAGACTTCAACTGCACCAGCCGAAAGCGGCCTGCGGAGAAAACTAAACCCTACTAGAGGGAGATAGCGCCGTTTTGCATAAGGAGGCATTACGTTCTATTTTTTTTAAAACAATAAATCAAATCAAATCAACAGAATAAATAACTATCACAAACATTCTTCAATTTCTATTGACACTTTCAGCCAATAAATATAATGTTTTCTTATCACAACAACGAATTGCGTTACAATCATGAGATCTTAGAGCCAATTTGATGATCCCTATATTAAGCTTATCAACTTTATAAGTCATCTTTTTCACCAAACACATAATTTTTTATTTTATGCGCTAAATTGTATGATAATCAAAATAAGTGAGATTCGAGTTACATTTTGACTAAAGTTACTATAGATGAACATTTTAAATATTTTTCATATAATTTTTCTTTATTTTATTAATAAAATATATTTTAAATATGATTACTTCATAATCAAGCTGAATCACAGCTTGAAATACATCGATTTCAACAGAATCAACAAATTTCATTGTTACCCACAAACTCCTAATTTTGGTGTCATATGAAAGTTAATTGAAAGTTATGAATTTTGATATTTTTTTTTGCAAAAAACAGATTATAAATAAAAAGTTATAGCAATTTTTTATGAGAGGGTTCTTGAATTTGGGTCAACTAAGAGTTCGTTTGGTTAACACTAAATTTGGATGAATGAGATGTTTTTGTTGAAATTTATGAACTTCTAGCTGAGGTGGTTGGATTGGCTGTGTTGGGATATTGGGTCCAGGCCCAATATCCCTAGGCCCAAATCCGGGAAGAAGCAGCAAGCGGGGCCCAAATCCGGAAAGAACTCCCGAACGGCATTCGGGATAAAACTTATACTTGGAACATTCTGGGAAACAATTATGCCAAAGCGTCAAGGCCAGATATCGACCGGTGTTCGGGATACTTCCATCAATTAGATCACCTATGGCAGAGATACCGATCGGCGTTCGGCATATGTTCATAAGCAGGATAGCACCTATGGCGGGGCCCCACACACCGAACACCCTGCCCGAGCGGGCTATCAGCAAGTGGAAGCCGCATTTAATGCTGGATCATGACGGCAGCAAGTGGGGGCGTGGGTTCTTACATGGCAGAGGTGATAGCCTACCAGATTCGACCACGTGTCCACCTTACCCATCCCCATTTTAGTATAAATACCCATGTTTAGATCATTGTAAAGGGTTAGCATTTTAATACTCAGAGCTTAGCAATAGATTTACACCTTCTATCCTTGTAATCTCATATTCATCTACCGTTCGGGTAGTCTCAGTATAATCACATATTTATTGAATATCGGTAAGCTTTTGAGTTGAGCAAATATCTCACTGTTTTATATTTTATACACATTTCAACCATACCCAATATCCCTACAATATCCAAGGCTTGTGTTGGGCTTTCGGATCTTCGGGAATAAACCTCAACATTGGCGCCGTCTGTGGGAAACGAAACTAAAAGTTCAAGGAAAACAGCTGATCTAAGCACCATTTTTTGAAATGGCTAGGCTTCATACCGCTACACCGAGTTCTGCATCCAGAAGACGAGGAGGCCATGGATCCTCTGAGGGGTGGTCCAGGCAAGGACACGCCAGTGGCAGTGCCACCCGGGAGTTCGAGCAAATCATCCCCCAGGATGTAAGGATGAACCCTCAGTTGATGAGGGATATGGCGGAGGCCATGCAACGCATGGCGGACGAACAGGAGCGGGGCTACACGGATGAAACTCATGAGCCACCATCCCCGTTGCGTCCCATGCCATCTT